TAGTTTCAATCTTTGTCATCGCTGACTCACAAAATGTAAACGTCCAAGCAAAGTATAAAATATAATGACAAAACTAAAAATCATAAAATTGTTTCGCACAAGATGAAGTGAGCATCAACTTGATCGCTGCAAATGACTGTTTTTAATAAATCGATATAAATGTGATGGAGGAAAAACATGAGCTCTTCCCTCACAGACAAGTTCAGCACGTCGTTGATGATGAAACAGAAAACAGGGTCGTACAAACAAAAGTTGAACACAACTCAACTTTCACACAATGCAATGTGTTGTCATCCTGCGAGCCGCTGTGTTGGCCAATCAAACACATGCAACTGCAGCTTTCCAGAGTTGTAAAATCTTATCTGGTGTTGTTTTTAACTCAGAGCTGTTTCCAGACTGAACCAGAGCTGTGAGCAAGGTCCTCCAACATCACTGTGAAAACACCAACCGAGGAAATTGGTTTTCAATCACTATCTTAGGAAAATATTGTCATTAATCCTGATACTGTTTCCAACCACATCACTCAGCCGTGAGCTTTTCATTTTATCCAAACTGTGTCAGTCCCCAAAAAGGCAGCAGATATCTAAAGTATATTGACTCAACAGTTGGTTTCAGCTTCTATTTATTATCTCCTCAACACAAACACTGCAGAAGACATTCACGACAAAGAGCTTATCAAACACAATTCACAACCGCTTGTGGCGTATGAGAGATAAATCAACTGTAACTTCCTTCGTACTGATAAGTGTCTGGTTGTGCAGACGTCAAAAGCCTGTTTGGTGAATGCGTGGCGTCTGTCCAGATCACAAGTGACAAAGGCCAAGGTGAGAAGGCCACGTGTTCACCATGAACACAGAGACTGTTTGCATGGAGACAGTGTTTGCGTTTCCTCTGTTTGCATGATCTGTGGCTTGTCTTGGTCGCTTCAAACCAAGGCCAAACGACTCCCATCTCCGCAGCCAGTGACTCACAGAGACACCGTTACAGAGTAAACACGTCGAGATTCCACTGACAGCAAGTAACCGGGTGAAGTTAGGTGAAGTCAGCATGTTGAGAGAAAGAGGCTTTTTGTTTGGTGACAGACACGTGTCATTAAAGATGCACAGAGGACCAGTCAGCTGAGAGCCAGGCCTGCTTTGAAGCTTTCCAATATGAGGAGGGTTAAAGGACGTATTTTAAAAAAACTCAGGGAAGCACAAAGTCTTTAAAGACGGAGGTGACGCTAAATAGAGTTAAGAACTGGAAATATAGCAAATGAAAGCACCGGCCAAGGTCTGTGTGTGAAGTTACAGAGAAATAACCGGCACATGCAAACATTAACCTTGTACCAACAGTGAGAGAAGGTACAGCAGACATGACACGGTCGTGGTCTGGTCAATTAATAACAGTGACATAAGGGCTATTGTGCAAGTTTAAGCTGACAAACACAACATGTTCCAGAGATGGTTATCTGTTGCTGCTCAGCAAATATAAGCTAAATGAAATATTACCACAGCCGAGCAGAGCAATCACTTAGCCGACGCTTTGTGTGCCTGCAACTGGGAAAAGAATCCAGATTCTACACATACAGGGAACCTCTGACGTCATAGACTGTATATAAAGACGGACAACGTGTCTCCACCTCCGCCCACTATCCAGAAATGCAGATAAAATAGCCTGCATACAAAAAACGAATGGAGCGAACCATTTTTGGTTTGACCTATACTACAGCCAGCCTCCAGGGGGCAATTGAGACGCTTTGGCTTCACATGGAACAATTCTGCAAATTCTGACTTTTGTTTTTACACCCACAGTGAGATAAATTAAAATGGGTCAGGATATGAGAGCTCCAGTGTTTCTAGTCTGACGTCTGCAAACTTTGTAAACTACCAAACTTTTTCCAAAATTTATTTCGGTGCAATTCCTAGAATTTCCGAGCCCTGACAGTTAAGAGTTAGTGGATGACGGGTGACATGCTCACAGATGCATCCTGTTCCTTCGTGTCATTTCTGTGTTCCTCCTGGAGACAGAATCAGACAGAACGAGGGAGAAACCACAGAGGCTGAAGGGCAGTGGACGGAAATGACTATGTTCCTACTCGATGCAAAAACCATCCAGCTCCGCATATATCACTGGAAAAAACAGCTCAACGTGTGGTGTCAAGAACCTTTGAGCTTAACACAAGTTTCATTTGAATGAATATTGAAGTATTTTTCTCTTTGGTTTCCTTTCTACAGAAAACTATAGCTGTGTGTTTGGCTTCGCAGGAAACTCATGCTCTTCATCAAAATGGCACAGCTGCTATGCAACCGTTGAATAAGTGAATGGGACACGAGCCACTTACAAACATCACATGATCCATTCACTATCGAGACATCAGTCACACATGTGACCCGGGGACGCTCAGTGTGCAGCAGCAGCAGCAGGTTTGTTTCGGCCCCGATCCTCTGAATAACCACCCTGGATGTACTTTATGAAAAAAGATTCAAATGAACCTGGAAACTAAAATGATGCCTCCTCTGGTAACGAATGCACGATGAAGAACACAGGAAGAAATGGTTCGTCAGTGAGCAGCAGTAAATTCATCCTGATATTTTTCACCGGTAGGTCTTTAAATAGAGTAAGATGTCCATATGAGGGCTGGTTACCCCCAAACCTCAGCGGAGAATCAGCTGCAGTCGGTTGGTGGTTAGGCGGCCTGTGTTGCTGAGTGGGCGGCACATGGGACCAGCGCTAACAGAGTAAAGCTCTACGCTCCCTAAGCGCTCATGACACCACGGAGAGCTGTGTTTGTATGAAAGCGTCCTCACGCTGCTCAGGCAAGTGTGTATTTACAGTATGTAAATGCAGAGCTAAGTGATTTACTGTGTCTGGTGTTACTGTAGCTCGAGTTTTCTGTTTTCTCCCGGGCTGCGTTTAGTCTGGATGGGGAGAAATGGAGACGTTTAGAAAAAACAAAAGACACAGTCACACACATTTGCTTCCAGATTGGTTCTTATCAGTCACGACTCAACAACCAGCGGTGAATGCAAAGCACTGCCGACTCTTTTTCAGTGAAAGTTCCCCCTTTCATGTAAATGGAATCCCTCTGACATTTCTTATTTGCAGTATTTTCTGGAACTATGCAACCAACTGCCCGAGTCGACGATCCGCTTCCTGTTTACACCGGCGTGCACATGACCAGTGAACGTGGAAGGTCAAGAGATTTGAGTTTTTCAGATGCTTCAGATTATTTATGATACTAAACAAAAAAACAGCTCAGGAGATTTAGTTTTAGTTTCAAAACTGTTTTAAAACGAATTGGCAGCGTACTGCTCACACACCCTGCACCATGTTATTGTCTGGGAGGTTGAGACTCGAGAGCAGAAGAGTGAGAATAAAAAAGACAATACAGGCGGAGGACGGAGTCTGAACAGATAAACACACACCTCTAGGGTCATGTTTCATATTTCAGGTCATATATAGGTCTTAAATTTTTAGGAATATCCTGAACGGTAGAGCTTTAAGAAACTTCTTACTGAAGTACAGTGTGTTCTTCCATTAGAGTACAAATACAAAGACAAAACAATGATTGTCTGAACTCTGCCCTTCCTGTTTGACACCGTGAATACAACATTATTTATTCATCTGGAGATTCACTCACGATTTTCAACTTCCTACTCTTCCAGTCAATCTTTAACATCTCTAAGTGAAGAGGAGGTTACTGCGCGTGAAATGAATTATAGCGTCATACGATTGACCGTGCAGCCCGGACAGGCCCAGACAGGCCGAGACACCCGGCTCTCACCTGGAGACACAATGATGAGTAAAGGTCACAGTGTAACCTTGTTGTCTGCTGGTAGCACAGCCAGCCACTTCACGTGATTACACGATGACACACGCAGTTTTCGAGTTGAGTGCGACATTTCATTGTGTTGACGACGTTGTGATACTTGAGAGAACATGCTTGTCGAGTCTGGAACATTGTCGCACTTGACTCAATACACAAAAGAATGATTTCAGTAATGTTTTCAATAGACAGGCTAAATATATGTATTTAAGTCTCTTCGCGCTACTCACACGTGTGTTTCTCCTCACGAGAAAATACGGAGGCAAAACATTGTAATTTAGGGAGCGCACTAAATGATTATGTGTGACTTGTATTTCCTGTCATCATCACCTACGTGGAACCCTGGTTCAGTTAAAACCGGACAGAGACCACATCTGGATTTCTGGGGACAGAGTCCTGATCGGTCAGTGGATTTTATGTATCTGAAAGAAACCTGAATCCTCGAATCCTTCTTCCTGTGCTGCAGAGATCTCGTAGCGTCTCGTGTGGACTAAATAACTGTTATTTTGAAAGGTGAAATTTAACAATCCTGGGATTTTTTTTTCCTCTTGTAAAACATGATTTGATGAACTCTGAACCATTTTGCTAAGAAACAGCTGTTTTGTGAGAGGTTCGCACGCTTCCTCATTTACTGCTCGACTGTGTGTGTGTGGAGGAAAAACACTTATTTCAACATTATATATATATATATATATGTGTGTGTGTGTGTTATTGTCAGGATGACTTCTACACACCAGGGAAGTTTCTTGTTGTACTGAGAATAAAACCTTGTGTACTCCTTCACATTAATCCTCATGCACACTTGCAGGAGAGCTTGTGTGAACACGTTGTGTGTTTTAAAGGCTGGAGGTTGACATGATGTGTGTTGACAGAGGAGGCTCACACTGTTGTTTACGACACCCCACCACCACCCCCCCACCAGAAACAGGATGTAGACTACAGCTGGAAGAGGGGAGAGGTTCTGACTCCAGCCCATGTCCCCTGGTGTCCCAGCCTGAGCACCAGAGCCTGGGAGAAGCTTGTGGGACGAGTGTCTGGGGAATTGAGCAGATGTTTAAGGGGGGGAAACCAATTAGCAGCCCCGTAAACAGGCACAAGGCTGCGGGGGAGTGTGAGTTGACCCAGGCAGGGGATGAAGGGTGTGTCGTCCCCCCCCCCCCAGATTATCACCCGTTTACCCGCCTGTACTCACCTTCAGCGACCAGCTCCTCCACGGTGACCTGGTACCGACCCACTGCGAACACTTTCCCGAAGTAGCTGCTGACTCCGGAGCTGCAGCCGGACCCGGCCCCTCCGAGCCCGCCGCTTTCCGACTTTGGCATCCTGGAAAACTTCTTCATCCTTTCCCCGCTTCTTTTTTTTTTTCTCCCCCCCCCCCCCTCCTCTTTCAGTCCAAACCGCCCGATGCTAAGTAAAACCCCGGTTCGGAGGTTTAGTCGAACCGCACAGTCCAGTTGTGTTGCGTCCTCGCCTCCCCCCGTATCCTATCTGCTTACCCGCGGGGTTTTCTCCTCCTGCATGCTCCGCGTCTGGTTCTTCTGGAGGGACCAGTCGCCGGCGGGGGACACGACATTAAAAGTACGGTCGACGGAGCAGGCGTTATAGGCGGGATGATGCGCCCCTCCTCGGCCTCTCGGGGACCACAACACCCACTCACGGACAGATAAACGTGTGGGTCCGTTAGCTGCCGTGACACATCCCTGCTAGCAAGCTGCTGCAGCCGCTGCTAGCGCGCATGAACTCGGCGGCGAGCGGTCAGGATGCTCCGGCGACCACGGGGAGAGAGAGGAGAGAGGAGCCGGGGGACAAGCGCAGCAAAGCGGCGGGCACCGGGGTTGTCGACACCCCAGCCCGGTGACCCTGCGACGGCAGCCTCGTTGTTCCACCGCTACCTGCCCACTCCACTGGAGGCTAGTTAGCAACGCTAGCTGCGGTGGTGGTGGTGGTTGGCGGCCAACGAGCTTCGCCAGGCGGTTGAGACGATCCAGCCCGCGGGCGGGAGCGCTGTGTGGGAGGCCCCGGACCGGAGACGAGACAGCGGCCGTAGCTTAAGAGGAGTCCCCCGGACGAGGCGCCTTGGCTCGGTCCCTCTGGGTCATCTCCGCTCCCCCCGGGTCAGACTCGTGGTTCCTCCCTGACGTTAGGCTGCAGAGCAGGTGGGCGGTTTGTTATTCACCAGAGACAACCGAACGTGACGCGGCCCCGCCCCCCGCCGGTGTTGCGATTGGTGCGAGTGGAGCGAGAGTGTATGGAAGAACAACAGTGTCAGAAATAACTTTACCTGACATTTAAAAACAAAACCTGGTAATAATCAGGCATAATTAAGTATATTATATATATATATATATATATATAGGAATTAAGATTGTGTTATTTTAAAGGGATGGAAATTCACTCATCTCCATGGAGGGCTGGATGAAAAGTGTTTCAGTCCACAAAACACTTTCAGGGGTAAACCAGTCCAACACAACTGAGGGAAATGATGACCACTTCTTCAAATGTAAAAAGAAAAAAAACAGAATAAAAACAACACAACAAGCCTCCATACTGCCCCTGTGGTGTCATCCAAGTGTCCGGGAGCTCCGACATTCAAATCCGACTCGAAACTGCTTCACGTCCACCATGTTTTTAACCTGAATGTCCTCTCCTTATTACTGCTGCAGTAACTATGGCTATCGCAAGTTCTCGCAGTACTCACAAAGTTCACTGATACCAGCTTCTTGGTTAAATATATTTTCCCCAACTATTTAGTGATCACAATATCTTTTTATTGTTATTCTTATTATTTTTGACTTGATTAGTTGTAATGACGCCACTTACAGTTTTCTTTGTAGCCTCAACCCTTACATGTACTGTTTGTGTAGCTATGCCGTAACACCACGTTCATATGATTCACCTTGAATCATTTTGAATTTTCCCTACGGGGATTAATAAAGTAAAATTTGATTGAGAAAGCCCGACTCTGCTGTCCACGTCTTGGCAGTAATGTTCTTCCAGAGGAGGTGCCCAGACAATACTCATCTCTAACAGGGCGGTGTCAGTGACAGACAGTCTGAGCAGTTTGGTTGAGGAAGGAGAAAATAAAAGAGACTGGAAAGAATGCAGAGCGTAAAGAAAGAGGCAAACCTCCGGCTTGTGATGTCTTCTCCTGCCTCACATTTATTTTTCAAAATAAAATCATTATCAAAGCTCTGTCTTCATCTGTGGCTGTGATCTACCCAAAAAGGTCTTTTTGATATGAGACTGTGGTTCTTATGGCTGAATAGATCTCTTGACGCTGCCTTCGACTTTAATGAGGCAGCGGAGGAGGAAACAACAATGTCATTTTTCACCAGACAGAGGCAGCGAGGAAGCGGCGTGACAGCTGCCTGCGGCCTTGTGAACAAAAGCCAAGTGTGTGGGCAGGAGAATCCACCACATATATTCCATTCATTTATTTCACCGTCTAACTCGTGCAACATCCACCGAAGTCGAAGAAAACGTCCACGTCTGTGTTTAACTGGTCACAATTAGCATATTGAGGTCAGCTGTTGTTGGGGGAGCACATGGCTGAGATGGGAATTATATAAGAGACGAGGAGGAGCAGAGCTGGATCACATGACCTGCAAACCCCCACCTCTTGTCTGGATACATCCTGTTTCTACAGGAGGCAGGGGGGGGGGGGGGGGTCCTTCGCTCCCTGACACACTTATTGTTGTGCTGCTGCCGGTGAGGTGTATGACGCCACCTGTTGGTGTGTGGACACAGAAACACAGACATCATGACAAACACCCGTCCTGCTGACCTCTGACCTCCAAGCACAGATACATACAAAACCAGTTCCCATACCAACAACGCTCTGTGTCACTGTAAAGGGCTTAACATTGATTTTCTCAATCAGCGTCTTAGTTACGGGGATTCATAGACAAGGGAGGATGGATTCACAATCTCGTTATTTAAAGATTTAATGGAACAAATAGATGAAAAGTCAATTCTGAATCTAAAATCATGCAAAAAAAAAAAAGGAGTAAAATGTTACAGTGGTTGTTGGTGCGTGTAAGATTGTGCAGCTTCACAGAAAGTTTAACTGGAAATCAACAGTAAGAGAATCTGGTGGAATCTCTGTGTCCTCAATATTCCTTTTATCCGTCCCGCCGGCGGTTTGACTCCATCCTGACGCAGTAAAGTCTCCAGACAGACTCTGCTGCTGCTCTACTGTACGTCTGAATGGCAGCCCACTCCATGAATGGAGACTTCACAGGGAGGGAACATAATTAGGTGACTTCACGGACAAGCTTATATTTCCTGGAGTCACATCAGGAGGGAGAAGAGCTCCGCCCTCGAATTCTGGTACACTTTACACTTGGCGTCACACACACACACACACACACACACAAGCGAGCATGGGTGAACGTGGCCTACATTTCCCCACGCTCCCACATGAGTTTCATTTTCTGAGCGAGACTCCGAGAGCTCACACTGTCACAGAAGATACAGTCACACAATACAAGCTTCATACAGTCTGATATACAGAACTACAGACAGTCTGATAGATATTAGGTCATATATATATATATATATATTAGGAAACACATACACACTGATGTATAAAAGAAGTACCACAGGTATAAAGTATGAAGAATGGCCAATTTCAATAATGTGTTTTCTATTATTGGAAAACGAACTTAAGAAGAATACTCTATCATCCACAGATTTATAAACTTGACCTTGGCTTCACATGTTGATTAAAAAGATATCACAGTAAATCACAATAATAGATCATATAGACATTATACAGATATTAAAACCGGCATGGTTCTTAGTTATTCAGGGTTAAAAAAAAACTTTCTGTAAATGTTCGGAATACTTCATCACTAATGAGTTTATATCAATTACCTAAATCTTCAAAGCAACTTAATGTTGCGTGAAAGTATAAAGTAGAATTGAATAGAAATACTGCAATTAAAGTACCTGAAGAACAAGATTTTCTTATTATAACAACCTGGTTATTTATTATCTCTGACATCAGGTTGAGTTTCCATGAAACTCGGTGGAAGGATGAGACATGAGCCCAAAAAGAGCTCATTCAATTGTGAAATAAACGATTTTATAATTAGAATAATTCATTGATCTTAATAAATATGAATAAATAAATAAAGACTTTTACTGGGTGTGTGTAAGTTGGTGCAGCTTGGTTGAATTTAGGCGACTGTTGGGCCTCGGTGGAGGTATTTCAGTTATGAACATAATCTTTATTTCCATTTTATAAAGCTGCTTGTTATGAACTATTTCCAGAAACACATTTTAAACACTTTAAAAACGACTTTTACTTGCATGATATATAAACTGTGTTATATTAAAGCCTGACGGATGATGTGAAACAAGTGTTTTACAAATATTCTTTCGTGCTGATAACCCTGCAACCTCTTCGTCACTATCACACCAAACACACACACATGGAGGACGTGTGTGAAGCTGTCAGAGGACGAGGAAGTATCGCAGCCTCGCATCCTGTTTTCCTCCAGTGGAGATAAAGACGAGAGGGGGTTGGAGGTGGGGGTGGGCGGCAGCGTGAAGGACTCTGGGTGATTATTTAGGCTTTAACGAGGAAAACGTCTTTGCCTTCAGGGCCGTCATCCACCTCAATAGCATGGCCTGAGTTTTACTGTGGGCCCCCCTGCAGGACCTGGAGACATAAAGACACGAGCTGCTGCAGCAGGACAGTGAACGAGTCGGTACATTTCATTTTGGACGAGTCCAGAGGCTTGTGTGTTTTACAGCACAAATAAAACAGCCAGGGATTTATGAAACGTTAAATTTCCTCTGCAGACGTGAGCCGGCGGCCTCGTGCTCTCAGCGCTGCGGTGCGGTTGAAGCTTGAACGCTGAGATTCAGGGAGGGTTTCTTACTGACTCCACTAAAACCATTTAAACAATCTAAAGGTGAAAGGAGACATATTCAGGTCGATCATTTTAATTTGTGTTACGACTGTAAAAGGTTTTCATGCTCGAAGGTTCAGAAAACACATCACGTTCCTCAGACTGTCCATCGCTGCTGCTCCTCTTTTCAGCCTCTGTCTGAAACACTTGGTTTTAGCTCCTGTCTCTTACAGACCCCCCCACCCTCCTAAACAAAGTATAAATATATTCGGTGTAAATATATTTTAAAGGACAAAATCACTGTTTTAAACTTATCCAGGTGAATTTCTAGAGAAAGTCATGAAGCAGACCTGCTGTCGGCTCAGTGATGCCCCCTGCTGGTGAGTTTGCTGAACTACCAGACTGTAAGTGACAGTAGTGAGAGCTGAAGAGAAAACATTTGCGACCGGCAGAGATTTTATTTATTTATTGGAGAAACAGTTGGAAGAGAATGAAGCAGGAAACAAACAGAAAGATCAGTTTATCACATGTCTTCAGAAATGACTAAACTGAGACTTCTGATCTGTAAGTTATTCGAACATTAACTATTTATTTAACAACTTTTATTTGGTTTTATGTAGAAACTGTTGAGCAACAGAAACGAGTAAACTGATCATCATTTAATTATCCTTTTTTTAAAACATGTATCTACGTATTAATCATTTCACTGGTTGTTTTCACGTTTAAATCTCTTTTTTAAAGGTTCTTTCCATTATTGTCAACAAATCACGCAGAAGTGGAGAGGAAGAAAAAAGACGGAAGGTTTAGAGTGAGAGTCAGAAAGTTTCTTCTGGACCTCACAGGTGAGAGGAGAGTCCATATTCAGTCGTCTCCTCCGCAGATGGCCTTGATGCATTCGCCGTAGTCTCCGGACAGATCCGACTACAGGACACAACACAAACAAGGAGAAAACACACACACACACACACACACACACACACACTGTCAGCTGGGGACGTTATCTGTGTATTTGTGTGTATTATTTGTACCATTACACTTAAACTGTTATTTATTGAATTTCTCTTTTTTCAGAAAACTTAACAAAAGACAAAGACAAATGGGCGAGAGGGTGAAGATAGTTTCTCACGTCGATGGCTGAGTGCAGAGAGTAATCGTAGGACTTCTTGAAATACTTTCTGATGTCCAGCAGATCGATCTCAGACCGGCTCACCATGACGCGGCACAGAGTCGGCTCATCGGTTCCACCGCCCTGAAAAACAGGATCGAACCGGCACAACCACATTTTTATGTCTGTTTTCCTGCGGGCGTCACGCTTTCTCTCTGTCCACCCGGTTTTTCCTGAGCGTAATGGAAAAGTTTTTTCTCGACTCGAGGATGAAGCAACGAGAATTTGGTGGTGAAAGGTGAAAAGGTCGAAGGTCACCCTGACCTCACAGAACAGGATTTTTGCCCTGAAGTGCAAAACAACTTTAACCTGTTTTTTAATTTGTCGTTTTGTTTTCTTCTCTGTAGCTAAAAATCCCTTCCCCCGAGAAACTAGCACCACAGTAAAGTCAACCATTTCATCTGATGTGTAAAGTTGAGTGCTGTTGATAACAGTAATTCCAAAGTGATTATTATTATTTAGGTCTTTAAAGTTGCTTCCTTTCTTTAATAATAAGTCAAATAAAAAACACTGGATTCACCTTCATGCTCTTGTGCAGTTGTTCTGCAAAGTAGGTGGGGGTGGACTTCACACATTTCACTGCAGGAGGAACAACAAACAAGATTTCAAATATTTAAATCAATCTTGACACAGAGATAGACAAGACATCCTCACAATTTCCATGAAGGATTTAAATTAAATAATTAAATTTTTTCTTTAACATTGTGAGAAAGTTTTTTGGGGGATTTATAAATTTTTTTTACAGATTTCTCAGGAAATAAAGAATGGATCTTGATAACTGACGTATTTTTAGCACTAACGTCTTTAAGATCTCAGACGTGTGTGTGATGTGGTGCAGCTGCTGGTGGAGCTGAACAAGTAGTTCCACACACTTTTGGCCACACGGTGCGTGATCTCTCAGAGGAGCGCAGTGATGAACACATGAACTCACCGATGGCCACCAGCAGCTCCTCCAGCTCCCCTGACATCTCACTCTCGATGCTTTCCTGCAGAGATTTTCCGCTGAGTTTCTTGTACTCGAAAAAAGCTGCAGCAGAAAAACAAAGAGCGGAGACGACGCCCAGAAATGAACTGTTACTGGAGAGAACAGCATTTATTTTAAATCACCGATCGTGCAGCTGCACACGTTTTACAAATTCGTAGTTTCTAGATTTCTTTGCTCATTTTTTTCTTGTTTTTGTCGATTATAATTTTTTATAATAACCTTGTAATGTGATCATTTCAAACCGGGGAATACAAATCAGCTTCTGCCAGAATCGGACATGCAGTAAAGATATAATATAGATAAAATAAAAACAAATATTGCACTACACGTACTTAGTCTGAGCTGATTTATGCTTCTCTCACACAGGATTTCTATGAACTTGGATTCATCAGTTCCCCACTTCTTCTCTGAAGCGTGGTAAAGAGCCTGAGTAAAAAATAAAGGATGACTCAAAAATAAACTCAACACAAAAATGAATAATTATCACACAAATGTGTATTTTAAAAAGTTTTCATTATAAAACTGCACCTGAGCGTCTTCTTTTGCCATCTTCCTGTCTACGTTGGGGCTCTCGTCCCTTTTTGCCTGAAAAGAAAAATTAAAACTTGTAGAAAATTATTCTCTAAAGTCAATAAATGTGGAAACACTTTGACTGTAAAGTTGAGGCTGGAGGCTGGAGGCACTTTTGCAGAACCAGCTCTCACTCCGCTGAGACAGAACTCGACAAACCTCGTTCAGGAGGAGCAGCGCTTTGGAGAAGTCGCCGGAAACTTCTTTCCTCAGGTCTTGAACCAACAGATTCTCAGTTTCTTTGGGAGGAAAAACATCCAGGATCAAACAGAAGATTTTTTTCATTTCGAGTTTGTGGGTCTGATGTTTTTCATATGAACGCTAACATGTGCAGCCTCTTTGTTTGACAGACATGAAATTAAAAATGAAAACTTTGAACTCAAGTTCTGAATGGTTTAAATAGTCATTAAGATCAAAGCTCGATTTAAAACTTTGTACTTGTTGATAAATTGAAACCCTGAGCAACTTAGAAAAACTTGTCTTGAGGAGAGATTTTAAAAACAGAACCTGAGGGATTCATCTATCCACTGATGAATAAAATCAGCCGAGCCTTTTCAGACAAAATGCATTGTGGGTGTGAAAACGACCACTTCAGAAGTTTTGAACGTGCGTTACCTCGCAGATAGACGGCGTTCAAAGCTTTGATCTCTTCATTGGTTCTGGATGCAAAGATTTCAATCAGGATGCAGTCCTTGGATCCAGCTCCCTGCATTCATCACACACACTTTACTACATACACTTAATAAACTGCATTTACATTGACCAGCTTTAATCCAGAACAACATGGACACATGTTTGAAAAGAGACCGAGAGAAAATCAATGAATCCTGATCTACCAACAGTCATTCGACTCTTTAAACTGCACTTTGAATCACTGTTCTATTCTTAATTAAGAACCTTATTTCCCGCAGCTCTTGTAATGAATCCACTGATCAGCCTGAGTGTTCTTACATCTCATCTTTAAATGACTTGATCATTGATATTAACGTTATTCATTCTGACGATCTGAAGAAATAATTCTCCAGAACACATCAGGGAGTTTTTCTGGCGACTAACTGGTCACAAACGTGTAATTTAGTCTAGTGTTGGTTATTTGTCTGTAACTAAATGTTTCTTTTTTTTATTTTCAACCACATCACTGAATCACATCTTCTTTGTTTCCTCCGGTCGTGACTCGTTCGTAGAGTTCAAAGATCAAATCAGCGACACGATGTGAGAAACACTGACTTTCATGGCCCTCATCACTTCGTGGCAGTCGAACTCTGCAGGAGTGGAGACCAGCGCCACCAGCACGTCCTCCATGTTCCTGCGGGTTTCACGTTTCAGGTCGCGCACCAACGTCTGCGGCGTGAAAACACGAGCATGTGAGCAAACAAAGAGAAGCAAGTGCATGCAGCCACACCCATGCTAACACACACGGGCCTCTGACTTACACACTGCAACCAGAGAACAGGAAAATCAAGATGATGCGTCACGTCAGAGCTGCACAGGACGACAATTTGAGTCTTTTGGAGTTTAAATCCGATCAATGCAAACAAACTGAATGTTCTTTAAAAAACATGTGTGAGCTCCATGTTAGTGAACTGTGCCTGTTAACAACACTTTACTCATGATAACACGCCGCTCAGGTATCGAGGTGGTTCGGCCTTAGTTTGGTCTTCAAGATGGAGATAAATGTAAATTGGAGTTTGAACAAACAGAAACTCATGAGTTCCACACCTTGGCAGAACCACCACCCCGAACGGTTTGAACTTCCACTCTCACTAACGGCCTGCGACAAAAATGAAGACAAACCAGCTCGTGAGGAGCAGATGGCTGAGTGTGGGGGAGTCGGCAGGAGGGCGAAGAAGAAGATAAACCTTATCAGGGGACAAGTTAGGTCACATTTTCTGTTTAAATTAAAGAAGCAGCCGTGACTCTTTCTGTTCAAACGCACGCGCACACACACACACACACGCACACACGCACACGCCTTGTTCATGTCAAATATGCAAACGTATCGACAGACAGGACAACATGGCGGAGGAGACGTCTTACTTTGCCTGTGATCTTCTCGTAGGCTTCACAGATGAGCTGCCGCTGCTGGTTGGTCCTTTGAGTCAAAATGTCAATCAGGACCTTCTCCTCGGTTCCTAATAATAAAAACAACACTCACACGTTTATGCTGCACCTCATAGATTTCACAAGATCCATGAATTCCTCTGAGGAATCAACATGAGTATATCGGACGATGTTTTGGTATCGGACGTTTATTTTCGTTATCGGCATTGGAGCCAGAAATCCATATTGGTCGGACTCTAAACAACAGGGACAATAAATGCACAACTGTGATTAATAATAAACATATAAATATGGTGAAGAGTTGGTATGGAGGTGTGTGTGTGTGTGTGTGTGTGTGTGTGTGTGTGTGTGTGTGAGTATTCTTACCAAATCCTTTCATGGCGTCCCTCAGGGCCTCAGCATCATTTTCTGCATTAAAATTGGGGTGCGGCTTAATGGTTGCTCCCTTTCCAAATGGAAGCAGAACAGACACATTTATTTATTCATCCGCTTATTTTTCATCTTTTCATCATTTCATCTTTTCACTATTTCATCATTTCATCATCGACGCTGTAACTGTCTCAGTAAAAACCCTGAAACTGGACCCACCCCTGAGGACCGGGCGGACCGGGAAGTCTCCAAAACATCCTCCAGGTTTTCCTGTGGAGATTTAATCACATGAGTTTAAAAAGTCACCACCGGTCGTTTCCTTTTAAATAAAATCAAAACACAGAACTTGTCTTACCCATAAAGTAGCCATGGCGACAACAGAAACTTCTTCTTCTGTAAATAAGACGAGATGACACTTTACTGGTCTTGTTACAGCAGCAACACGTCAGAATGAGGTAGAGGAGAGAATAAGAGAGTCAATAAAATATATTTGATATACATGTACTTGAGTGAAGTACAATGGCATTGGATGACTGCAGTAAAAGCTGTATTTGTACGTTAGTACAAGGAGATAGGTGATATCCATGTATATGCAGATTAGACTACATAGTATAAAATGCTATGGATATATATGGGTGTAAAGTCACCATAGTAAAACTAAAAGCACAGTATTTTTTCAATAATACAGCCATAAAAACGTAAATATATATAAATTCACAATAGTATACAGTATAGTATGTATATATATATATACATGTGTATATATACATATGTACAAATGGGTCTGAAATCACAAATAGAGGTACACATGTGGAATAATGTAAAATAATAGGATATAATTGGTATTTAAGTGGAAACTTATTATTCTATTTTATTTGATGGAATGTATGGAATGTAATTTTTGATGATGTGAGCAGCATCTGTCTGCATTCAGCTCAGGATTACATTTACTCCTTGTGTGGTTTTATGTGTATAATCAGCTGATCTGCTGAGTAAAGCAAATAAACCTGTGAGCCTCCATTAAAGGTTCAGTGCTGCAGCTTCACATGACAAACTGTCACACACACACACACACACACACACACACACACACACACACACACAAATACCACAACTTTTTTTTTTAAGTGGAAGAAGAGGATCTCACCTGAACTCTGCAGCGAAGAGGTGAAAGTTTCTCTGCAGCTTCAGTCTCTGGTTAATATACCTGAGTCACAGGGCCACGCCCACAGTGTAAAGGTGTGTGTGTTAGTGCTGCCTTCAGGGCCCAGTCGTAAACATCCCCTCTGACGTGTTTGAGGAATAAAAATGAGGCTTCACCTGAAAATATACTAATTCGTGTTTGAATAACTCAAATTGCAAACCAGCCAATGTTTTCAAAAACTTGAGGTCGACTTTTACAGTTTACATTAATTTTCCACTTCTTTCAATAATAAAGTGTTTTGTGTTCAATACTAAAAACAGTTTGAATAAAGGTTATAATGAAAAATCTATCTATCTATCTATCTGTCTGTCTGTCTGTCTGTCTATTTACAGATGTACATTTGATCTTGTTCAAACAGAATTATAGGGTCATATTTATCTTCTACAAACATCATTTGTTTAATTTTATAAGTTATTAACTTGTGCACACAAGAAAAAAGAAATTCACTTTCCATCACTTCAGGGCTTGAAATGTATTTTTTCACACGACACAACACACACACATATATATATATATATATATATATATATATATATATATATATACAACTATTACAGTTTTTCTCAGTAGCTCTGGTACATTTCTCGAATCATCCTCGACATTTGCAAAACTGTAAGTGCATTTCTCAAAACAATTCGTACAAATAGCAAAACGCCATGGATTACCTGCAGAAGTCAGTCTCGCTCATAAAATCCTTAGTTAATTGCTCAAAAGTTAATATCTGTGTCAATGTTTGTACGATGTGAACATACGACAATCTCCTTTGGCGAAACTGTCCATGCAGTGCTGTAGGAATTACAGTGCAGTCCTCCTGACGTGCCTGGAAGCAATTTACCAATTCAGGGCAGATTTAGAAAAAAAAAGTCTAATGGAAATGTATAGAAATATGCCTGACATATCATGACAACTACATTTTGCACGTAAAGACTTATGCGATGAACTAATGCCTCAACATTGTGGGGGGGTGAGACCATTCAACAGAGACCCATTATAAGACATCTGATCAACATTGATAATGTAGGAAACAGCAGAGAATTGGACATAATCATTTGCATGGATGCACCAAAGCTTTTGCAACTTGATCAAAGAAATGAGAAACTGCTTTTTTGACGTGCACAAGTGACAAAATGAAGAAGAAGAAGAAGAAGAATTTCTATTCTGATCTGAGAAATGAACCAAAGCGACTGAGAAGTAAACATATTTAAAACACACTGCAGCAACTTTTACGAATATCAAACATACAATAGATGTTTTTATATAAAGACAAAGTCCACAGTGCAGTTAACAAATGTAATAGTTTAATATATACTTTTCTCTGCTGGTTCATCCTGAAGATTTAAACACATCTTCGATCTCAGACACGCGACTGGATCGTGTCGTTGCGGGGACGATCTTTAACACTCGGACTCGTGTCATATCCAGGTCAGAGGCCGGCTGTCCTCCATAGATTCCAGGCCTCCAGCTGAGCTTTGTCCAGCCTGGACGCAGCATCGTCTCTCTGCAAAATCTGGGTCTTTGTCTTCTTTCGCCCCCATCAGCTCGTCTTCCCCCAGAGTTTGGTTCGTCGAGTCATTCGGACCCTCGGCCAGAAGAGTGGCAGCCATGTTGGCGATGAGGCCCCAGTCCTTAAGGATGTCCTCTGCAGTGGTGAACTGTGAGGTCACTGTGAAGCGGATGACGCGTTTGGTGCGCACGTCTGCGGGGACGAGGTACACGGAGCCGGACCTGGTCAGTCTCGTCAGCAGCTCCTGGGTCAAAGAGTTTCCTCCCTGAGATAAAATATTCATGAGCATCGCAGGACGAAAAAACTCGAAGCTTCCAACAAAACGGAATCATTTGCAGTGACTTAAAGGTTCAGTGACATCTAGTGGTGAAGTGTCATGTTGCAGCTGAACACTCCTCACCTCACCCTCCCCTTCCAAACATGAAGGAGAACCTGCTCCTGATGTAAATATAAAGTATTTAAATATTAAGTATTTAAATATAAAGGCCCATTCTAGGGTAAAGAAAACAACAATTCATTTTCAATTTTGATGAAACACACTTTCTGTCAATAGATCCTTTTCGCTAAATCTTACACACGGGACCGTGTAAAGTTTCCACATTTCTCACCGGAGAAATAAAGTTGCATAATGTTGCTTTAAAATAAACATCAAACTCAAACAAAAAAGTTTAATGATTCGATGGTAGATTTTCTTGACATACTTTCAGACAGAAGACCACGAGGCCGAGGTGTCTCTCAGCAGGAATCTCAAACAGTGGGTCACTCCGTACACGAGACTCTAAGAGCTTTGCCATCTCGATGCCCTGAAACCAACAGAAAATACATTCAACTGAAATAAAATCCTGCGAGTTAAACCTGTTCTGCCAGTTTGATGATTCTGAGCGTCACTCACATGTCTGATATGAGCCTGAAGCTTCTTCAGTCCGAAGCTGCGCAGGACGAACCAGAGTTTGATAGAACGGAAACGTCGGCTGAGAGGAATCTGCCAGTTCTGCACAACAGAGAAACTGTTCATTACTGTGGTTGGACGGATTTTCTCACTGTGATATCTGAGTGTTGTGTTTGCTGGAGACGTGATCGTACCATGAAGTCAGTGGCTCCCTGAGAGTCTTCGTGTCTGAGATAAACGGGATCGACAGTGAACGTCTGCTGGAGTTTAAATTTATCTTTCACCCTGATTAAAAACAGTGAAACCACATCAGACCAATTCATGACACACTGTTTCTCATCTGTCTGATTGTTCTCTGTCTTTTTATTATAAACATAAATTTAAAAATACATTGCACTTGTTTTCTGAAAAAAATCTGTATTCACCTGCTTTATTGGATCAGCTTAATTTAAAGTGTAGCATGTGGAAATGGCCTGTAGAGGGCAGTACAGACCTCCGTGTTCCCACTCACCAGAAGGCTGTGCAGTCAAAATGAACCATCATCCACTTGGAAGGGTTGAAGACAAACGAGTGAGCGAATTCGACGCCCTCTAGTGACCAGCGGAGCTCAGGACAGAGGTACGCTGAGCCAGCATAGGCAGCGTCCACGTGGAGCCACAGTCCCTCCTCAGAACCTAGAGACAAGTTCTGTGTTTACATTGTTCTGTAAAGTTTACATTGTTCAATAAAGTTGTGTGTTTTCATTGTTCTGTAAAGTTCTGTGTTTCCAGTGCCGGTGGAACAACACTATGTCTGATTTTAAAAACAAAGTGATGTAGACACGTACACACTGGTCCCAGTTCAGAGAGCTGGTCAAAGGCACACACTCCTGTGGTTCCCAACGTTGCACAGAGCTGAACAGAGAGAAACGTGACAATCACATGTTTTTTAAACTAATATGTTTTATCTTGTTTATAATTTTTCAGAAATACATGGGGGGGGGGGGGGCTCCTTGGCTGAGCCAATGTTACCTCCCACCTGTATCAGCTGCTCCACCCCTCAACTGAGAAGCTGCGCTGTTTAAGTGTGAGAGTTAAACTGCGGAGAAAGTCTGCACCCATTGCTCCAGACTTCCTCCAGTGCAAATGTCTGAAAACTCATAATAACATCCCAGTTAATTATTCAGTGTTTGTCTGCAGATTTCACTTTCCTTCACTATGAGACAGAAATCATTGAGGTTATCAGAAGAACATTTGTGAACATTACTGTTGTTAGATTAGTCAAAAAACCAATTCTCCATCCGTCGGGGTCAGATTCTTACCATGAAGGGGACCAGTCCTCTGCTCCTGTCTTCTTCTATGGCTCGTTTTAAAGTGTCTCCTCTCAGAGTGAGCTGCTCGTCGCTGGGCAGTAACCTGATCTTCACCAGGGAGATCAGACCGGCCTTCTCCACTGACGAATGAGCCTGCGAAAGCGGGTGTCACTTCATCAGATCGACAGGATATTATTGCACAAGAGGTGGTGAACACAGACCTGATCTGAAGCGTAGGCCACCAGTCGTGCGTTCAGGACCGAGTCGTCCAGGTCCTGGTCCTGCTCGGCTCGCAGCTGTAAGAGTTTGTCCTTCCTGGCTGCCAGCAGAGCGACCAGCGTGCTCTCGCTGACCGTGCTCTGGAAGGAGAGGAAGACAATGAGCTCACCGCTGCAGAGGCTGTGGTGTGAAGGTTTCTGAACGTTGAAGGAGTCATGAACCTGCAGGATGCCTCCACCTCTGCTCTCAGGATCCCGATGCAGGAAGAAGGAGGGGAGCCCCAGAGCTTTACACAACCAGTCCAACACATTCATCTCCAGCTCGGTGCATGCCGGGCTGGAGGCCTGCACAGACAAGGCCGCAGAGCTTCATCATTGTGATGCTTTTATTTACTTCTATGGAATAAACACTTAAAATAAATACTTAAAATAAATACTTAAAGTGGCAATAAAATGAGTTTCACAGATAGAGAACTCATTAAATGTCTCAGACTGTGGCAAGACGTCCATTCAGAGATTTGGCCTGAACATATCTCTACTACAACCTTGCTCTGCTTCACTTTATTACAATTAGATTTGGCAAAGGTAAAGTTAAGATGTTGTGCTATGGTTTGTTAGAAGTTTTCATTCATGTTGTTCTCCATCTGCATTTACGAGTAATCTCCACACTGATGCTGACACCTGTGCAGAAACCTTTACATAGATTCCAGGACTCTATATAAAGACCCTGTAGATGCAGAGATGTACATTGTCATGCAGGGGCCTGGACCCAGATTTCTAGAGGTTAAGAGCTGTGCTTATTTACCCAGGTGAATCCCAGACAGTTGATGGCATCTGCGAGCATGTCCCCGAGCATAGAGGGCCACGACGTCAGGCAGGGGTAGTAGGCGTGCATGTGAGGGCTCTGCCAGTGAACCACCTGCAGAGAAAAGATGAGAGACACATCTTCAGCCTCAGTTGCAAGTAGGCGACGTGATGGTTGGTCACAGCGGGGACTCACTCCCGGCATGATGACTTTCTCGATGTCGTTGAAGATGCTCTCCCAGTCCTCGGGCTCTGAAGGCGCCGTGTCAGGCAGCAGCTGCTGCATGTAACCCGGCTTCACATCTGGAATCACCCTCCTGTCTCTGACGGAGCCCAGGTACTGTGTGATGTAGTCCACCAGCTCCTTAGCTGCTCAGGAACACACAGTCTCAGCTGGAACTCAACTCCCTAATACATATAATAATGTATCAGCACCGACAATGGAAATCATAGTTACCTCTGCGATTGTATTCCTGCGCCTGCATGTTTCTGCACAGCTCTGAGAGTCTATGTGCTGCGGCTGCAGAGATCATGCACCTTTATTGATACTGAGGCAACAGACACGCCCTGAATCTAAGCGTTATTCGGAGGGAACGATAACATGCAATCAGGATTAAGTAAAAGTATTTAAGTATGAACTCTCTGGAATACAGCTGAACAAATGTGTTTTATAGTTCATAACATTATGAGGAATTACATGATGACATTCAGATTGTGTCTGTAAAATATCAGTTTGATCAAAGTCCCCAGAACGTTTTAATCACCTCTTGAAAGCTTCTTT